TTTATCTTTATCTTTATCTTTATCTTTATCTTTATCTTTATCTTTATTTTTAACTATATCTTTATCTTAACCTTTATCCATGTCTTTATCTTTATCTTTAACCATATTTTTACCTTTGTCTTTATCTGTATCTTGAACTCTATCTTTATATTTGTCTTTATCTAAATCTTTAACTACATTTCTATATTTATCATTATCTGTATTTGTAACTTTATCTTTATGTTTTTCTTTGTTTTTTACTTTATGTTAATCCTTTTTCATCTATCTTTACCTTTTAACGTTGCATTTTCTTTATCTTTTCAATTTTCTCTCTTAACACCCAAATATGAATTATCATCCCATTTTCCGCTACTATTTCCAGCTATGGCTACTCAAGCAATGAAGTGAGCTATGGCAGTCCCTACGGCTATTCGACATCGGTGACACCGCAACAGACGATGGCCTACGATATATCAGCGGATTACGTCGACAGCACCACGTACGAGCCGCGTGGCACGATAATGGATCCGGACTACGTCAGTCATGGTAGGAGACAAAAATCACAAAAACCCGTGCCAATGCGCATTTCCATAGACGAATCAGCATTTAATACTCGTATAACCACTTACCACACGCATTACCACTACTACTACTATTTACTACTACTACTCGTACTACTCATCTTAGCCATCATTGTGAAGTTATCCAGTTCAGTTACAAGTTCATGCCGTGAGCCCATCGCGTTTTCAAGTTGTACAGTTTTTGTCCATTCTATTTATTATCGAATCAAAACTTTTATCGTTTTTTTGCTATAATTTCTTTTTTTGTCAGCGCCTAGGTTTTGAAGTGAGTGTGTGTGAGATGTAAGTAACTCCGGTGCAGCACTGCACTATGCGCCCATGGACAGTAAATACCTACAAACAATAACTATTTCATTTTGTTTTTGGTTATTTTTAAAACTTAAATTTGTATATTAAATAGCTGGGTGGTGAAGCGTAGGTGGACGCGTAGTCAAAATTTCAAAATTTCATACAAAATTAGGTGACACTCATTTTTCACAACTCATTGGCATACATTCATTATTAGTTATGGGGGTCGCATATTACTTATATGGGGTTAAAAATATACATTCATATTTATATTGTAAAATGTTTCGTAATATCGCTGCATCAAATATTCGCTGTTGTCTACAAAAAAAAAAAACTTAAAAAAAAAATCTCAAAATTCTGGTAAATATTTTGATTGTATATTCCTTGTCAAATTGCTTCTCCTCCCCTCACCAACCAGCTGATGGCGACATCAACGATGTTCTTATCAAAACCTTAGCCGAGGCACACGCAAACACAAGCACCAAACTCGAAGCCGTGCACGATATGTTTCGGAAGTCTCAGGTAAAACCGATGATATATGCACTCAGTCAGCCGTCGGAGTTGAACTCCTACTAATTGAAAAATACTTTTGTTTCTTTGTTTTTTGTTATATGTGTCTTATTATCATTTCGATTACGCTCATAAGGATATTTCGAGGATACTTTACTACAAGAATCTGGGCCAAGAGGAACTGTGGCTAGACTGCGCTGAAAAGCTAACACAAATGATACAAAACATAATCGAATTTGCGAAACTGATACCCGGATTTATGCGTTTAAGTCAGGATGATCAGGTGAGAAAAATGCGTTTTATATTCACACATACATACATATGTACATTAGACTGCATCACCAAAAAAAGTTCCGGTTTTTCCGCCGGGATTACAAAATTTATTATATTTTAAGACGTCCACCAAAATATTTCGGAAAAATATTAAGATTTAAGCGAACTGGACCGATTTGAAAATGCCTCCAAAAATTAAGTTTTTTATGAATAAAAATAGTTTCTTAAAGAACTTTTTGAAAAAAGTCCCCTCAGATGACAAATTAGATTAAGCTTAAAAAATCTGCATAAAAATATTTGAAAATCTTTTCAACGGAATCGTAAGAATGAGATTTTTGATGCTGTTTTTTTACTTTTCTCAAAGATTGGTTTACGAAAAACTTGAATAACTGGGCCAAAAACATTCTGATTTTCTGATTTAGACTTATGGGATCTCAGTAGGAAGGTATTGACACACTGTTTTTATTTCGGGCCAAAAAAACGTCATTCGTGTCCCATCTTGTTTTTCGAATACCAACACATCTTAATTCAACTTTGAATGACGTTCGTTCACCCTACCTTTCTCTTCCATCCTTTGAGTGAGTTTATTAGCAAAGAAATAAAAAGTCTAAATCGGAAGAGTTTTGGTTCAGTTATTCAAGTTTTTCCTATACCAATCTTTGAAAAAAGTTAAAAAAATAGCATCAAAAATGTCATCATTACGATTCTGTGCAAAATTTTTTTTTCGTTTTTTTTAATATTTTTATGCAAATACTTTAAGCTTAAACCGTTTTGTCATTTGAGGGGGATTTTTTTCAAAAAAATCTTTAAAAAACTATTTTTATTCATAAAAAACTCCATTTTTGGAGGTATTTTCAAATCGGTGCAGCTCACATAAATCTTAATATTTTTCCGAAATATTTTGGTGGACGTCTTAAAATATAATAGATTTTATAGTTCCAATGGAAAAATAGTACCGATTTTTTTTTGTATGGGGAGTGATGCAGTCTAATGTACATATATAATAACAAATGTTGAAATGTGTTTGATTTAGGAGAAAAAATTTGATATATTGATCTTGTGATGTAAATGCGAGGCAATAAATTTTACACACACAAAAAAACACTGTATGTACTTGCGAAAATACCGGCAAAATATAGGAAAACTGCGTTTTCATTTTTTCTCTTTGCCGTCAGGATTTTTTTAAAGACTATGGAATTTCAAAAACTTTACTAATTCAATAAATCATATAAAAAAATTGAGTGCAATTACAAGTACAGTCAATCTGGCTCTAATAAAAATGGTAACATGCTGTTCAGAAAACTATTTTAATCAAAATAAGAAAAGATTTTGTTTCTCAATTTGACAGTAAATATTCTTATTTATAAATGTAAAAGTAGAAATATGCAAGGAGTGGTCGCAATTTGTTGAAACTTTACTCCTACAAGGACTACTTCACAGTGATTTCAAAAATGAAATCGGTACCGGATACCAATTTTGAAAAACCCGGGTTAAAAATTTTGAGAAAAGTGGAGTGATCACGCCCTTTTCTTTTATTATGGTTATTTAAAAATTGAAATCACTTTTTTGCACCGGTTACTAACTTCGAAAAATCCGCAATTCGAATACCGGTTACCAATTTCTTAAAAAGCGGAGTGCTTCCAGCCATCTTTTAACTGAAAACAGTTATATTTTGCATGAAGATTTCTGAAGAAGTGGGCGTGGTTATGAATCGAATTCGAAATTTTTCAAACACTTTTCGTAGTAATACCATAGCCCATACCTTCATTAATGTTATGAAGAGATTCGTTGTATGATTTTTGAGATTTAAAGAATCCATTAATAGTGGGTGCGGCGAATTACCAATTGTTAATGATTTAATGTGAATAGGCCATAAGAATATTTGTTTAATAACTTGTTAAATTCATTTTTTCTCTTTACACGTTTAAAAAATGGACCACTCCGCATTTTACGAAATCGGTAATCGCTACTAAAAATTTGGATATTTCAAAATTGGTAACCGGTACAAAAAATCTACTTCATTTTTGAAATAACCATAATAAAATAAAATAAAATTTTAGCTGCATGAGGACGAATAAGTATTGAAAATGTCCTTTTAAAATTGTATCCTTGAATATCCTTAAAATTTTGCAATATTTATTTTTGAAAAAAGTATATTCTCGAATTTCGTCTCTTTAACTTTATTAACTTGACAAAATATAAAAAGAATTAAAAAAAACATCTGAAGTATGTACCCTTTGATTTGGTACCCATAATTTTATAACTCTTTAAAGAAATATTCGGCGTGAAAATCTAAAACCACAATTTTACTGTATATGGCCCCTAGTTTCGTTAGCATATTGACTGTTTTGTGTGTTTTAAAATTTTTAGGATTTTATCGCACGGTGCTACGTGCAATGTGATTTGTTGTTATGTATGTGCCGCAATGTTGTGATCTAAGGAAAATTAATTAGGAATCATATCTTGAGTTGAGTAGGGAGGGGAGCATTTATGTATATAACTTTCGATGTGATATGATGTAATCTGAAGCGATGTAGCTTCATTTGATGCGATGTGTTGTTGTGTGATTTGATGTGATGTGCTGCAGTGGAGGTGGTGTGTTAAGATGTGATGTTAGGTACATGACGTGATGTTATTTGCATAAAGTTGTGCGATGTAATGCGATACAATCTAGCCTGGTTTAATGTGATATGGAGGATGTGATGATTATGTGAGGGATGTGATGGGATGAATGAGATTTTAACTATATTTTTATCTTTTTTAATAATATTGAATATGCAAAAGAAAAGATTTTAGTTAAAAATAAAATGAATACTTTAGTTCATTTTTGAGTGAACTAAAATAAAAATAAGAGTTTTCATTAAGATAAATTAAATGCATTAAGTTTGCACATTCCAGTCTTTTCTTTTTAAAAATTTATAAAAGTAATAATTAACGTTTAAAATTTGAGATTTGGAATAAAATAAATAAATAATTCGAGCAGTTATTAAATATTCTTAACTTTTGTCAATAGTTTTTCTTGATGATTAATAATAGAAATTAATCAAATTATTATAATCGTGTAATTAAAACAAGTCAAAAATAATTGAAAATGATCAAAAATAACAAAATAATGATGTAATTAAAATTAATGAATTAATTAACGTTTTTTTTACGTAATTAATTACACTGGTCTACAAATTTCAACTTTTTTTCTGCGAATAAGACGGGACCTGGTGTTTCTGAACGGATTTTTCGTGCTGAACACGAATCCGGGGTCAAAAATGTCCCATCACGTCACGTTTTCGAGAAAAAAGGGGTTGAAACCCCTAAAAACAGCGTTTTTGGCCATTTTCGAAAAATTATAGAGCTGAACCCTGACGTGGTACAAATTTTGCATATATCAGAAATTAAAGGCTAAACCGTGCCCTTTCGAATGAGCCCTATGCCGAATTGATCGCGTGCACCCTTAAAGCAGGGGGTGTATTTGTGTTTAGGGGTGCAGGAAAAATTGATCACAGAAAGAATTTAATCTTAAACGATCATAGAAAATTAATAATGCCAAGGTTTTAACTATATTAAAAGTCGCTGATTACGAATCTGCAGTTAGATTTTAAAAATTTAAGATGACGGGTCGAATATGGTGGATATAAAAATTGGACTCCTAGACACAAATACACCCCCTGATCTAAGGGTGCATGCGATTAATTCGGCATAGGGCTCATTCGAAAGGGCACGATTTAGCCTTTAATTTCTGACATATACAAAGTTTGTAGCACGTCAGGGTTCAGCTCTACAATTTTTCAAAAATGGCCAAAAACGCTGTTTTTAGGGGTTTCAACCCCTTTTTTCTCGAAAACGTGACGTGATGGGAAGTTTTGGACCCCAGATTCGTGTTCAGCACGAAAAATCCGTTCGGAAACACCAGGTCCCGTCTTATTCGCAAAACCCTTGTAGACCAGTGTTATTACTCATTAAACGGTTATCCAAAGAAATATGCTTTAATTAATAATCATTATGAATATTAATCATTATTTAACAGGTCTTGTATAATTGAATACGTACTCCCTTTAATGGTTTACAATATACCGAAATAAAAGTTATAGAATTTTGTTTACTTCATTGTATTAAACTGTCGAAGTCTAAACAGGGCATGAATAAATCGTTTGTACTTGGTACATGTCTGGTAATTTTCGAACTAGTTCGGTCTCAGTCAGGAAATTCTAGTTGTAAACTAGTATTTTTCCTGACTAGTTTGGGATTTCACTGCAGGGTAACTGTAAAAGCTTAAATAAATGTTCAGTGGATTTGAAACTACAACCAACCATTTTTTTAACACTATGAATATTCATAATATGACTTTTATGTTACCTTTCGAGCCCCCTTAATATATTTTTAGCCATTGAAAGTTTACGAAATACAAAAATACGACACTTACGACACCACCCCAATGGTTCATCGCTTACATTTTACAAATACTTATCTTGCAAATCTTTTTATGCACTTGACAGATTCTGCTACTGAAAACTGGATCATTCGAACTAGCCATCGTGCGTATGTCGCGATTGCTTGATCTCTCCCAGAATGCGGTACTCTATGGTGACGTGATGCTGCCACAGGAAGCATTCTACACATCCGATTCGGACGAGATGCGTCTGGTATCGCGAATCTTTCAAACGGCTAAATCGATAGCTGAACTGAAACTGACTGAAACAGAGTTGGCGCTTTATCAAAGTTTAGTGCTACTTTGGCCAGGTAAAACAATACGTAAATGCTCAAATTAATTTACTGTTGCTATAAATTCTAACGGTTTTGCCTTTGATTATTACAGAGCGAAATGGCGTACGCGGGAATACAGAAATCCAGAGGCTTTTCAATTTAAGCATGAATGCAATAAGACAGGAGCTTGAAGCGAACCATGCGCCCTTAAAGGGCGATGTTACTGTTTTGGATACATTGTTAAACAATATACCGAATTTCCGGTAAGTGCGCGAATGCCTGCTCATTTATATGAGTACAAATAGTTTAGAAATTTCCTTTGATTTATATTTATTTCCTTTTACAGCGATATATCCATAATGCATATGGAAGCACTGAGCAAATTTAAGCAACAACATCCGAATGTCGTCTTTCCGGCGCTATACAAAGAACTGTTCTCAATAGATTCGCCACAGGATCTCACATAACATCAAGAAAACTATGTGGAGACTACCAACGCAATCGATGCGCCGGACACGTTGGATGCGTTGACGTAGAAGAAAAAAAGTTGCGTAGATGAAAAGGGCGACGGCAAGTAATACAAGCAATGCATGCAATTGGTGGCTGCTGCAATAAAAATATACATACATACATATGTTGTGAATGCGTGTGCGCACAATTAGTAGTTGCGCTAAAATAACAACAACCAAAACTGTGCGAGCAGTAACAACAATAGGAGAAACGTTTCCCATAAAACAGCAATTTATATGCAGAAGATCCTAAAGCAGCCAGTCAAATAAGCAGCAGGCGTCCGAGTTTCTTCTTTTTTTTCGGAAGTTAAAGTAACAAAAACAAGAAGTTTATTCTCAGTTCATTCACTATTTAATAGAAAAGAAGCAGGAAAAACAACACTGTACTAAAATACCATAAAAATAGTAGATCGTAAAAAGAACAAAATTAAACATTTATAAAAATCATTAATTTCAAGCCACATTACAGAGAATAACAAAAGCAAACAGCAAAGAAAACAAAAAAACAAAAATTAAGCAGCAAATTAAGTTTAAGAATATTTATACAGAATTTAAAATAGAAGCAGAAAATTATATACTAGTTATATAGACAAACCAAACCAGAAACAGGCCGAATGCACACACACACAAACACATGTACACCAAAAACACTTCAGCAAAGCACTAGACAACCACAATAAGCGTCGATAAACATACATACATACATACACAGTATATGCACACGAAAAATCCAATATAAAACAGCATAAAACCGCAATAACTGCATTACGTTATATCATAATGTTAAACACAGCAAAAAATAAAAAATAACGAAAAAAACATAACTAAAAATATTACAAAATCCATACTAAGTAAATACGCGCAGCAGAAACACAGGAGAAAAATACATTAAAACAGCATTTAAGCCAAGAAAATAGGCAAAGAATTAAGTAAGACAAACTCAAAAACTACGCATACGCCTACATTGTACTACCACTTATAGTCAAACACACACATGCATATACATACATACATGCGCCCAGAAACAGTAACCAAGAACTAAACTCCGAAATACGGTAATATACAATGCAGAATTTAAAAATCGTTGCCAATCTCACGCAAACTCATCCTCTAATAAAACTACTAAAACAACTACATACACAAGTACTATAACTAGATGCCTGGCGCAATCGAGGAGCAGTTAGAAATCGATTTACATACTTAGTTCATTTTGAACCCAGCACAAATTTTTATCTTTCAAAAGCAAACAAGCGAAAAAATACGATTTTTAAATAAAAATATATATATATATTAAAAAAATCCTGCGAATATTATTGAAAAGACTTTGCAAAACAAACATGCACACGTAAACACACACACACACACACACACATTAACGCGTAATTTAATGCGCTCCCTCCCAAAGACTCCGTGGTTGTATCGAGCGAAAGTAAAGGTGAAGAATTGTTGGAAGAGACTTATTAGAGATGTAGTACTTATGTATGTACACTTGTGCAAGGAACTACATACATACATATTTAGGCTATGAGTGCAAATTGAAAATCATTTGAGCGCCTTCGCCTCAATTTCAAAGGCGTAAGCTATTTTTAGGCGCAATTTTTCAATGCATTAAAGGTAATTTAGTCAATTTTTGTGGCAAAAATTATTTATGACCAAACAAGTAGATTATTTAAAAAAAAAACTTCAAATTTTTATTGATAAGCATGTAATTTCTCACATTTGGGGCATAAAAATATTAACCCTTGATGACCGAGAGGCCTAAAGGGGTCACTTATTTGTGATGTTATTGAAAAAGTTTGAGTGGTTTTTTTAACAGTTATAACCACCATTTATACAGAGGCTATTTTTGAAACATATTGCCCAATTATATTAATTTCATTATTGTTATTCAGCTTTGTACCACGATCTTCTTCTTTTTGGAAAAATTTGGATTGAAAACCTGAAAGGTCTGATTTTTTAACAAATTAGTTTGAAAAGTTAAAACGACCAGCCTTTGTGGCAACAAATTTGTAAACAGTCTTTTGTTTCTCCTCTTTATTGAGTTCTCTGCTCCAAATGGTAAATATGAAAATACATACTTCACTACTCAAGGTATCAAGAACACCTACACAAGCTCTTAATATTAAATTGGCGAATTAAACTCAAAACTCTTATTTTTTATACGGTTTGGCCAAATACGGTCAACAATTTAAAACCCTTTTCAAATTTAATTTTTAAGAAAACAATAGTAATTACTTAAAGGTTATGTCAGAAGTGCATATGAATTTTTCCTCCAAAAAAATTAAAAAAAAAAAATACCAGTTATATAAAAACATGTTTTAAAAGTACTTACTTTTTTGTTTTCTATATTTATTTATACTTTTATTAAATTAAATATGATTGTTCGGAAATAGCTAAAAAAATACAAAACACAAAATCGTTTCCAGGTTTTTTGTTTTTTTACAGAAGCTTAATTTGATGTGAAATTTTCTGTTTCAAATACCAAGGAAAAATTACTTTGTTTTGCCACAAAAACTGATAAAATTACCTTTAGTAGTATTTAACTTTTGTTATAACTGAATGCTTTCTTTATTTTTTGTTTGTTTTGTTATTGTTCATTTTAAGCGTTGTTTCTGTTATATGTTACTCTGCTAGTTTTATACGAGTATGTATGCATGTTTAGATTTCTGCTTAATTTCAAAAAGCTAAATATATTTTAAAATTAAATGATAATGAAAATCAGCACACATAATTTTCGTATTGTACACAAGCTGGAATGTGCTTGGGTGTTGGGCAAAACGTTGTGCAAAATGCAGTGCACAACGCAAAGGGATTGCAATATTTTTTGTTAGTATTTAATAAGTAACATTTTATGTATGCATGTAGGTATATATATAAAGTTGATTTACTAAAAGTCTGTCCCAACTCAAAAGAACGGCGTTATTTAAGGAACCCAGCAGAATTTCTCATTATATCAGGCTAACCACTTTTATAGTTACTTTTTGCGCTTTCAAAAAAAATTAAAAGTATATGAATCTACGGCGAAATAAAAGATACAATAGCATACATATGTATACATATTAGATGTATAACCGGTTTATTCGAAAATAAAAATCCGGTTTATTCGATATTTTAAAAACACGATTTCAAAAAAACCGCACAAAAAATTGGTAAAAATCCGGATTAGAAAACCCTAGTCAATCACCCTCGTATACACTGACAGTTAAAAAAATGGAGGATTATGCATCCATCATTGTTAAAGGAATGCATACTATAAGGTCCCCGTAAGAGCAAAGGGGGGCTATGGCAGGCAAAAACAAAAAAGGGATTCAGCAAGCTAATTACTCTCACACGGGTAAGCTTAACACTTAGATCAAGTATATTGGCGAGTTAATGTCCAGATATAATAATTCCAGGCAGCAAGCTGACATGAACACCATACGAATTACGAATACGAATTAGCTCAGCCAACACGTTTCGTTGTAGGAAGCGATGCACAGAGTTCCAACTTCATACAAGCTGTAGGAAAAAGTAGTAAACGTGAACCGATTTTGGTGAAACTTGACATAGTAGGAGATCCGACGAGAGCACGACCTTTACCCCCATCTGTTTAATGGATGAAATCTACTTTGTATGTACTTTACCATGTTAGGAAATATTTCGCGAGTGGGTTGGCTGAAAAAATCCTGGCCAGGATACTTTTAATTAAATATTCAAAAACTATTTTTTTTTTAATTTTGCACTCGTTTGTTTAATGAACAAGTTACGTACTCATAACCATATACCAATCGAAAGCATAAAGCCTTTAGGATGTGTTAAATAGATGAGTGAAAATTTCTAGGATTATCTACCTGTTCCTAGCTGCCAACCAGTTAGATAGGCCAGGAAGAAATAGACAACCCAACGTGTTCACATAATTTGTTTATTAAACGAATGAGTAAAAAATTAAAAAAATAATAATTTTTGAATATTTAATTAAAAATATCCTGGCCAAGAACCTACTCGTGAAATATTTATTAACACGTTACATTTCATACAAAATAGATTTCATCGTGCCCTTGTCGGATCTTAGACTAACATGTGCTCTGTTCTTTTTTTTTTAGAAATAGACAATTATTAAATGTATTAAAATCCACCGTTGTAGGCGAAAATGTTAAATTTAGTCTGATTTCGATGAAATTTAGTTTTTACTCTCGCCTTTGTTAGAAAAACCGGCGCTTCAGTTTTATTTGGGCTTTAGGTCTAAACGAGATATTGTTATGAGTTTGCAGCGCACATCCTCAATTGTATTTATCTATCTAGATTTTCGTCATTATACTCACTTCCGTTTGCGAAGGTGTAAAGCCATCACTGAAACCGTATAGTTACGAACATAGCTTACACTTTAAATACATCCGTTTCTAGCAACTCAGTGATAACATTTTCGTAATAAACTCGTTTATGGTTAAGTTGGTGGTTCCATTCGACTAGCTCTTGTGCGCTTTTAGAAATCAAATAAAATTATTATTATTTATATAGAAAACCTTTTTACACTAAGCCAATCTCATATCTAATACAGTATTGCTTAAAAATTCTGTGCTTTTTCCAAGCTATAGTGGGTTCACATAACGAAAAAAGTTCATGAAAGCAGATTGCAAGCCCGGATTTAAATTAAAAAATCTAAACATTTATTTAGTTACAACTCTCATTTAACGGCGTTAAATTTGAAATGGTTCCCACTGAAGGCTTTAAATCTCTGTTCAGTACGCCTTGAACGATTGCTTCAAAGGCAACTTTGCAAAACTAAGCACAAGCATTACCCAATTGTGTTCATAAATATAATGAAAATCTTTGTCTAATAGAAGGAAAAAATATTTTATGTTGATTTTGTGTGACTATTGTTATTTTAAAATTAAAATAAAAAGCAAGCTGAGATATTTTACACCAGCTTATAGTGTTCAACGAATACATATTGCAAAATATGCGTAAAATGTTTTGTAATTGTTTTGTTTTTGCTGTTTTTTTTTTGTTAACTTTCATGTGAATTTTAAGCTAATCTTTTTTTAAGCTTTGCATTTTGTTATACTTCATGCATATATAGTATATGTACACGGACATGTACCTTGAATGTGTTTTTCGAATGCTGCATGTCTAAATTGTTTATTACGACATCGGTAATTTATACACAAAAAAATAGATATGTATACGATTTTATACCACATTTGTGCTCAGCTTGTGTAGAGTTTTGCAGAGAGACTTTTGCTGGATTTCTGATAAAAAATCGATTTTGATGACTACAAAAGAAATAACATAAAATCATAAAATAGGGAATCTTCGAGCACAGACATGGACGATTAGTAAATTTTGTAGCAATTTTGATAACAAAGCTTAAGTTAGCAAACGCAAAATTTTTAGTAAACTGAAGTGTGTTTTAAGTGTGCATAACAGCCGGGTTTCCATTTCCCCCAATTTTAACGACAAAATTACATATGTATTAATTCTTACCTGTGCGAAATTTTTTCAATGACACAAATTTGTGATGACACTGATTTGTGGCTTACTGTTGCAACAATAACTATGTACATCACGAAGGTTATTTTTTTAAATTTTTTTAATCAAATATGGAATAATGCGATCTCTTTGCGTTGCCTGTATATACGCTATTTTGAATGATAAGCAAGAAATTGTGCAGCACAAATTTTAGATTTCTGTTTTACTATCTTTAGACTTTGAAAAAAAAAACTGTATAGGCTTTTCTTAGCTAATAAGCATTACATTGCCTTGTTGTGCAATTCATGGGCTCTTAAGCACTGAACGTTTTAGAATAAGTGCATGTACTTGA